GCATCACATATATACATCCTCATGAGTCAAGACTCCTGCGTCAAGCATCTCGTGCTCATGACTCAAGGAATCTCGACTCAGAGGATATAACCGTATGATATCATGGCTGGAGGCCATGACAATGGTTAATCGTGCACTCATGAAATGTTCAACATATACATCATTAAGTGATGAATTTGATAAAATAAGGAAAATAGGGTAAAAAGAATGATTATCCAATATCTTTTATTGACACTATTATTGGCATTAAATTAAGTCAATATCGTCGAAAGATGAATGAAGAATCAAAATTAACCTTAGTTGGATGTGACAAGAAGAAAATGTATGTCGAATTACCGTTTATTAGATCTTCAACATTATAATTGAAGAATAAAATTATGCACCTGGCTAATAAACTACGACCTGATCTCGACATACAATTTTATTCAAGACCACCACCACCACCACCACCACCAGCAACACAAACATTTTTCCAAACCAAAGATCCAATTATGAATTATATGAAATCAGATGCAGTTTATTACATTAAATGCAAAAATTGTGAACATTCGTATATTGGAAAGACGGAAAGACAATGTTTAAGAAGATTACATGAACATGGTGCACCGAAAACTACGTTCCAACAACATCAACAACAGGACAACCATGTAAGTGATGATCTTAAAACTAACAACATTGTAGAATTAAGAAGATCATCACGTATCAAAAATAAGTTAGCTGCAACTGTAACAGCAACAGCATTAAGAACAACAGTAGCAACAACAGCAACATCTTCAATAACAACAGACGATGACAACAACGATAAAAAATTACCATGACACCAGTTACTCAACATGAACATGAAACAGGATATCACATGGCCTGGTTGAATTTCCGAGTAATAGGTCAAGATAATCATTTTTATCGCTTGTTAATTAAAGAATCTTTAATGATCAAAGCTTATGAACCAGAACTCAACAAAACTACCCATTCGATACCATTACTTGTCTTTCCAGATGGTCTACTGAAAGTTCTGCTTCCTAAACTTTACCATTAATGAGACTTTAAGTCGTTTGGTGGTTGTACAATTGTTATATACTTACTTTTCTTTGTGCTTTCCTTTTCTTTGTCATTTTCTCATGTTCTATGTACAGTTTTTAAGTTCATAATAAATCTTGAAAATGATGACATAGATCATCGAAACGTCGAATTATTGTGTTTTTATTCTAAAATAAATTTTCAATAATGTTATACCAAGCCGCTGTTATCTTATCATTTATTATGAGTTTGAATCAGTTTATTAAATTAAAATGTAATTTCCTTTTTCATTTTTAGATTCGTTTTATGTCTCAATGCATCTGGTGAATTCATTCCAATTATTAAACAAAAATGACATTTCACTTTTCTTTTTAGATTCGTGGGATATCAATAGATGCGGTGAGTTTGAATCAATTCATTCAATGAAAATATTATTTTATTTTTAGTTTTAGAAGATAATTGTAGGGAAATGTTTGCTTAGCTATGAAATTGGTTCAGTAACTATTATGGTTCAATTCTGTTTTACATAGGAATAGGTTAGGACGTGAAGAAAGCTGGTGAGTTCAGATAATTTTTCGACGAAAAATATTATTTGTTTCCTCGTTTTTTAGGTAGAGAAGATTGTAATGTTTAGCCTGCTGATGGTTTGGTAATGGTGCGAGGAAGGGCGCCTGGATAATGAAAGCTTTTCTCTGAACCCCGTGTGCTACCGATCTTTGATGGTTATTGTAGTTATTTCTGCGTGCAGATAGGTTCACAGCAGAGCTTCATCGAATGTCTGAGGCCGCTTTGAATGTTTGTTGCTGCTGGTAGAGAAATGATGGCTTCCCATCTAGTGTAGTTCGATAGTGGCTTTTCTGTGTTCGGAAACCTTTTCTTTGGGTTTCCAAACGAGTATTTGAGGTTTCGATATAATGGACATTATGGGTTTCTGAGATCTCGGAAACCCTTCTTCGAAAACCCTTAAAGGGTTTCCTATAGTAACAAACTCGGAAACCCTCTAAGGGTTTTCGAGGATACCTATTTTTTTAGAGTGTAGTCTATGTTTTACACTCGCTTTTCTTTTCTTTGTTTCGTTAAAAATGTATTTTATACATGTGTGTTCAAAATGTATATTGTTATTTGTAAATGTACTTTGTATTTTATAACTAATGTCTGAAGAAGTTGCACACTACAACGAAACATCACATGATTTAAATAAAATTAAAAATAATATCATATTAAATTAACTAAATCATCGTTTAGGAAGAGAATTCAAAATGACTACAAACTTATCAACCATCCTCACAAAAGTAAAATAAATTATCTATAATTTCTCTAGCAGATATTTTTCGGTCCGATGTTGGATTCGTCTCGAAAGTGACCGGATATAACAATCCACATTTTACAGTCATTTTAGTATAGCGTTTAGAATTATCCAGCATGACTGGCTTGTGTTCATAATAGCCCCATCAAGGCTATTATGAACAAAAAATTTTGTTTTTTATTATTGCCTACTCGTTACTATTTTAATTACTGTTACCTCAAAATAGAGGATATAGACAAATTAATCTTACTAATTGTAGAATGAAACACGCTCTATCTGCTTCTAAAACAATTTTTAATTAATCTTTTTAGTACAATAATTAAACTGATTTGGAATGAAGTTTAATTTTCCCTGCTACTTTTACTGAATGTTCATAATAGCCCCATAATGTACGGCAAGTGTTCATAATTGCTCGGTGTGGGGCTATCCTGAATAAATGATGGTGTCTCTAGCAAAAGAGGTGATGAACGACTTCTTGCAGGTATTTTTAGGAAATTCTTTTTGATGAACTCCTAGAGACCACTTCAGGCCACATGCTCGTGTTTTTCGTTTAACAAAAAGACAAAAAATAAAAAGTTACGAGGCTTTAATTATCGATTTTTAAAAATGCGTTCATAGTAGCCCCTATCTACTCTAATTAATTAAGTTCAAAATTAATTGAAGATTTTAGGATGAGAAGTATTTTTTACAATGTTTCTAATACTTCATATGAATGTTATATGTAGTTGATTCTGGCGTAATATTGTAAACAACTATTTGTAGATATATTTCCAAGCAAAAAAGTACCAAAGATGACTCTTTTGTGTGCCGTTTAATCGGATGTTGCGATGTGGGTGTGGGTCAGCGCGAGTTTAAGTGTCTGCCTCGGTATCGAGAGAGAAGCATAGAACGCGGACCCCGTGTTCCACACCTACACTCACACCCCATCCTTGACTCAAACTTGAGAAAATCAGAGCCGAATATTTTCCATTATTCTTGTCGGGATCCAAAGCAGGATCGAGAATGAATTCTAGTAGGATCCTCAATCTTCAATTCAGAAAAAACTCTGAGCAGATAATTGACGAATTCTGAGAAAGATTATAAACCTAATTTCACGCGAGCCCTTGAATTTTCATTCTGGAAGATCGTTCAAAACTTTCTCGAAAAATGGTCAGGGCTGAATGGAGTAAACCATAGCGCTTTGAAAGATGCTGACTGAATCCTTATGCTTTCTTCGCAAGATCTTGATTAGAATTGACATTGCATTGCAAGGTTGGTAAATGCTTCTTCTCCGAAAGTTCTGAACAGGATCCTAATCAAAGCTTGATAAAATTAACCAGTTTAGGATACTGACTGATCTTGCTATCTTCTGGCTTAATTCCTAGTTTGACGTAGCTTTTAGTCCTATCAGGATCCTAATAGAAAGACTTGGTGCGAATCTAGACGGAAACTTGATAAACCTTAGTAAAATTCTGTCTACTATTCCTCTCAAGATCCTGTGCAGGATCGAGAGTGAATCATCGTAGGATCCTACATTCACGATTCAGGAAAACCTTTGAGCAGGAACGTAAAAAGAAAAATCAAAACGATACTGTTTAACCATGAAACAATCCGCAAGCAGCAATAAGCAATAACTAGGATTCGAGATGTAATCCTGAACAACACTTGATTAGATTCTTGAGATTCAGAATTGTGAAAGATCCTTCCAAGCTTTCTCAAGAAATGACCACGTTTCAGATTCGAGATACCTTACTTTCGAAGCAATTCGCCTTGCTTGCCTACTTGAGTACCTAGAGACTACAAAATCCTCGACTTTGTGTTAAAATATGCTGATTCCAATAGTATACGTCAATAATAATGAAACTTTACACAGATTGATCAAGTTGAATTTTATTTCTTAAAGAAAAGTGTTTATTTATTTATTAGAACTTAAAAAAACACCACATATTAAATATTCATTTATTTCTTATTATTTTATGTTCCATACATTGTATTATTTAGTTTTTCTTTGTTCATTCAATTTTCTTATTTCTCAATATTAGTTAAATTTTCATATTTTAAAATATTCACAGGGCGTGTTGGTGCATGTGATTCAATACATGTATCTGTTACATGAAATTCCCAATTACGTATTGGACAATTCACATTTTCAAATGGATAAACAATTTCCATTTTCTTTTTATTAAGTGCACCTATATGTTCTACTGTAACACGATTTAGTATTTTAACCCATGAACAATATGAATGTTTATCATGATCAAATTCTTCACCCGGATTTTTTGGTAAATCTGGTTGAAATATTTTACGTTGTGTATGTTTTTCTTCCTGTGGTTGTAATCTAAAATGATTTAGTTCATCAAATTCATGTTCATTTGGGCGACCATACCATTCCAAAGTAACATTAACTGTATGATCAGTTAAATTTTTAAGAAAACATGAATATATATGCAGTGGTGCACATGGTACTTTATATTGATGGTTTTTTCTAGCATCAGCATCTGATGTGTTAGCATCTTCATTACAATATGTAGGTTTTCCTTTTGATATTGTATAATTATCATATCTATTATGCTGTGATGATTTTGCATCAACATTTGTTATACTATCATCTGTACCATTTGTAATACCAGCTGTTGAACGTTGTTCACATTTAGTTGCTGACATAATGATTATTGATTACTTAGATTCTTCAACGAAGAAAAAGAAGATATTTATTTGTGTATTACATTGTATGCCTAAAGTTGACTGTATACTCCTGTTAATACCTTTTCTTTGGTTAAAAACCTATCTCAGCTCAGGTATATCTTATCTGAACCAAACTTGCAGAGAATATTGACTGCGTCAAACTGTGATAATAGTTTAACATACTTCACTTGCAACTGTTGGTGAGAAGGCATCGAAAAATGGGCTAAAAGTAGAAGGTTGATAACGTGCAAGAAGTCTTACCCCGATAAATTATGGAGCTCCGTACTTTATTTTGTTTAGCAGCAAATATCTGTGGCTAGGAATTCACAGAGTCCAATTTTTGAATTTTTCATCTATTGACTTCTAGTGCTTAAGAGACGCTCCACGAAAAAATAAAAGATTTTCATTATACTGAATAATATGTTAAGAGATATGTTTTGAATTCAATTCTGGTAGAAGAAGATAATACTATACCACGCTCGAATCGAAAAAAATTGGGTCCTTAAAGACACTTCCCATTTTCGAACCTGAAGTTTTCAATCTAAATAGTTGATTTTTTTTTCGTGCATTACATAATCCAAACTGTCCTCTATCTATTAAGTACATGTTGAGTTAAATAATTATTTTCTTTGATCTGGAAATAAAGTCAATTTTTCCGAGCCTGAAAGGTCGAAAAAGAGTATTATTCTTCATTTTGCGACAATGTGCTTGGCTTTTCTTTGAAAGAATGTTTTTTAGATGAAATTGACTATGTTGAATCCTCAAAACAACGATCTGAGTTGAGTTTGATCTTTGTTCGAGATGATGATTGACATATGAAACACAAATACTTGTCAATCATAACTCGAACAAGACCAGATGTGACTGAAGACCAAACATAACCTCTGAAGGCGAATTCCACATTGGAATCGTCTAGAATAGTCTTATCCCGACTATTGCCTCGAAATCTACTTCGAAGCCAATTTCGAAGCCTATATTAAACGTTCTATCTCATGTCGCTATCATATCCAAGTGCAAATATACTTACATTCTGTCAAGTAAAGGAAGTAAACAACTATTATCAATATCATAGTTTTGAGCTCTACTAACCTAGTAGAGAAAAATCTCCGAGCTTTAAATCTCTAACTGTGTCTATTGTTAAGCGTACGGGTGAAATTAGAATAAGACACGACTACGTATGCTAATTCTCTTTTTTGTGTCTTCTGCATTTTCAATGTTTAAATCACGTGCTTTGATTGAACATGGAAAATTAAAAAGAAAGTAAAAAGAGAAAACGAGTAAAAGAAACGGACAGATTGAATGTTCATTCATGTGCTAGACGATGATCTCAGTTAGAGGTGAAAAGCTTGTTTATTCTCCATTTCTCGGTAAATAGTGCTTCAAGCTATGATATACATAGCAGTTATTTACTTCCTTCAATCGAAAATATGTACCTTACCCGTCTGCAAACCTTTTGTTTTAATACTTACTTTGTGTCTTACAAAAGGTCAATCATCACAGGATTTATTTCTCCAACAATACAGCTTGTTTCGCTAATCCCCTGTCCTTATCTAAGCACAAATATGCACATCTTCGATCTTCCTAAAATACCACTATACGTCATTTTCTTTTTCAATGAAAAGGATAAGTAACGAGTGATGTAAAAGTTTCTGCACAAATGTCGGTTTATTTTATATTGGCTAAAACATGTGCGAACAGACCCGAAAGTTCTTGTACAGAGTTTACGTCGAAAGCACTTTTTAATTATATATTCAAAAAAGTTCTATAATGTCTTGTATTTTAGTAAGAAAAACGTCTTTAAACAGCACTAAAATGTGGTCTGTAAAAATAGCTCAAAATAGTGGGCATGGAAAAAAAAGAAATCTTTCAGTATCTTTTCATTGTGTCCAATGCTATCGATTGTATACTGCTGCCGTTTTTTTGGTTGGATACTCTGCTCAATTCTCTACAAACTTGGTAGAAAACCGTACAGTATTGCATTAGATAATGTGACCGACAATTTGAAAAATCATGATGTAAGAAATACCATCAAAACTAAAGATGAAAACGGAGATGAACCGATAAAAGTATTCGAGATTTGAAGGGCGCCATTCTTAATAAAACCAGTTGAAATGACGGGTACGAATGACCCGAGATACTCGAGGCCTCGGATACTCGCTCTATGAATATGTTTGAGCCGATGACTAGAAATGACAAAATCGAAAAACAAGCAAAATAATACGAACACCAATCTGAAAATGACCCGAAGCCCAAGGATACGTTTTCTCAATATTATATCAAAGAATTCCAGAGTATTTTGAGGTACTTTGCACATGATTTATCGAGAATAGAAAAGGTAATTTGAGAGAGAAAAGATAAAAACCATCCTATGAAATAAAGTAAATGAAATCACGAGGGCTGTGCAAGTACGGATACAACTTGTACCACTCGGTTCACAGCTAACTATGTACCACCATGCATCGGGTCCATGTATCGATATAATACCATATATACCCCGGAAAAATCTAGAACTCTAAAATTCATGTACCACTTTGTACCATCATGTACTGCCATGTACCAGCTTGTAGTACCTTGTGTCGGGTCGATGGATCGATATGATACATATATACTCAAGAAAAACCTAGAATTCTAGAATTCATGTACCACCATGTACCAACTTGTATCACGTCCATGCATCGATATAATGCCATGTATACCCCGGAAAAGTCTACAATTCTAGATGGTGTGAGGGTGGATGTCAACATAAGACACCTCTCTTCACTCACGCCTACACCCACATCCATTCAGTCACGCCCCGACTCACACCCCGTCAACAGCCACACTCACCCTCATACCCCCACCCCCACACACAACCATGCTGATACAAGGTGGTACATGAATTCTAGAATTTTAGATTTTTTGGGGTATATATATTATTATATCGATACATGAACCCGATACAAGGTCGTACATGGTGGTACAAGGTGGTACATGGTGGTATATGGTGGTACATGGACCCGATACAAGATGGTACATGAATTCTAGAATTCTAGGTTTTTCTGGGGTATATATGGTATTATATTTATACATGAATCCAATACAAGGTGGTACATAGTTAGCTGTGAACCGACTGATACAAGTTGTATCCGTACTTCCGCATCTCTGACAAGTACTTTCTTGTTTGTTCGCACATGTTTTAGTCCTTGAAAATAAACTGATATTTGTGCAGAAACCTTTGCATCATCCGTTATAGGATGTTTTGAAGTTGTTTATTTCTTTTAATCCAAACTATATGTCACTGTTCTCCGTAAAGCTTGTGTTTCATGCTCACGTGCTATGTAGCTAAAGGTCAAACAAACATCATGTTCTGATTAACGAAATAGATCTTCTATCTTATGTCTTTATCATATCCAAGTGCAAATATACTCACATTGTATCGAGTAAAGGAAGTAAAGAACTGTTATCAATATCATAGATCTGAGTTTTACTTACCTAGTAGAGAGACAGTTTCGAGCTTTAAATCTCTACCTGTGGCTATTATCAAGTGTACGGATACAATTAGAACAAGACACGACTATTTATGCTAGTTCTTTTTTGTCTTCTGTATTTTCGATGTTCAAATCACGTGCTTGGATTGAACATAGAAAATTAAGAAGAAAGTAAAAAGAGAAAACAAGCAAAGAAACAAACAGATTGA